AGAGAAGGAGAGAGGCTTCTTGGAGCTTTTTTTGGAGCTTTTCTTAGAGCTTTTTGGCTTGCTCTTTAAACCCATTTGGGATAGTTTTCTTGGAGTTTCATCTTCTCTCTAAAATCAACCAATCTTGGGGATTTAAACTCGGCTAGAGTTTCTCAACTCTCTCACAGAGAGTTTCTAACTTGTTCAAACAAGTTTTATTCAAACTCGCCTAGAGTTCTTAACTCTCTTACAGAGAGTTTCTCAACTAGCCTAGCAAGTCCCCCAAACTCGTGTAGAGTTCTGAACTTGTCTTGTAAGTTCCTAACACTCTCACAGAGAATTCTCAAAACTCGGCTAGAGTTATAAACTTGCCTTGCAAGTTCTCTCAAGGCGTCAAGTAATGGAGAGAAGACCAAAGCCCCACAAAGTTGAGGTGCTCGGATCGTCAACGGGATACAAGATTCAAACTTCCATTGCCACAAAGAAAGAACCCAGTTTTAAACAAAGGGAGAGTTTCATCCTTCCCTCTTTTGTAAATCGGGGAACCGATAAAGAGAATTATAGTTTCTTTTTCTAAGTCAGTTAGAGAGAAATTATATTGAGAGTATTGTAATCATTCTTTTTCTAAGTCAGTTAGAGAGAATAACATAGATTTAATTCTCGATTTTCTCATAATTTCCCATGCAAAACATTGATATAATTAAACCATTTAAATTATTAAATATTTATATCATGTACATATTTTATTATAATATCTATTAAATAATGACAATAATTTTTAATATTATATGACTTTATGTTGTAAAGAATATTACCTTATTCGATAATTAATATCATCTTAGTAATAAAAAAATGGATGGTATAAATTAAAAATACTATTATTTAGAAAAAATAATTTATATAAAAATATTAGATCATTGAAATATATGGGACATTTACTTTCCAACAAAAAGTGCATGACTCATAAATGTCAAAGATCCAATATTTCATTGCATGATGTTCATAATGTCCAATTTTGATGTCTAAGACGATATTATAATATCGTGAAGGGTAATAATCGTTATAATATAAAAAACATATTTATACTATTATTAATAATTATAATTATGTACAATATTTTATTAAATAAATACTTTTACTATTTCATTACAATTAAATATTATTGTATAATAAATTATAATATATTTATTAATTTTGTTATCATTATAAATTATTAGTATATTCTAGCGAGTGGCCAAATATTTTGAAGAAAAGAAGAGAAAAGTATATGTCTCATAAATTTCAAGGATCCAAAATTTTTTATATAAATTAATTTTCTAAAATAAAAGTATTTTTAACTTATAACATCCAAATTTTTATTACTAAGATGATATTAATTATCGAACAAGGTAATATTCTTTACAACATAAAGAAATAACCCATATTTATACTATTATTAATAATTATAATTATGTGCAATAATTTATTAAATGAATGACTTTTACTATTTTATATAATTAATGTTGATGATCGATATCAATAGCCGATTAATCCAGAAGAGGATGGTTGTAGGGTGATGAAGGATGATGGAGGATCCGCTCCCTTCTTCGACTTTATACCTGGTTCTTGAACGAGGGCTTAATGTCTACACCGCGTAGAGAATAAGAAACTATAAGAGGGCGGGGAGCGGTTCCTCCGTGGTTCCTTCGACGGTCAAGTTAGTAAAACTCGAGTGGTGAAGGGAAAGGTCAAGAACCGATATGCTTCTTAATGTGGTAAGGTGCATGCCCAGAGGGTCTATGTGAGCTCATCTGTCTGGATGAAGAACTGATGTGTTTCAATGGCAAGAAGAGATATTTTGAATAAAATGGTTGCTTAGGAAATACCCACATATGCCGAGGGATGTTTTGAACTACCGAAGGCACTGTTCAATAAAATGGGGTTATGGTGAGTTGTTTTTGGTGGGGTTAAAGGATCGGGAATGATGCATCCATTAGCTAGCTTGGACGAAGCTTTACAAATCAAAAGATCAAGACAGAACGATCTTTCGCGTCTTAAGAGCATTTAACTTGGAGATGTCGCTAAGCAAGGATGGAGATTGTTGCAAAATTCAAACTTGCTACTTAGAAAAGTTTGCAAAACTCACAAACAACCTGGGCTAATTATAAATGATGTATGTGCGAAGGAGTTAATAGAGAATGAGTTAGGTTGGTGAAATTTTAGATTGATAGAAGCTTTTGAGCCAAATATTACTGAAGAAATCATATTCATGCCTCTTGTTTTTGAATGGAAAAGAAGATAAAATCTGTCGATCAAGGTGCTTGGATGGAACCTTTTAGAGTGTGAAGTGCTTACCATTTTGAGAGAGGAGTTCAGACGAAATGATGGTGCAAAACGCTGCAAAGAATGATCACAATCAATCAATATGGAAGAGCCAATTGAGGTGTGGTATTCCAAACATGATTAAAGTTTTCTGATGGCGGCTTCTTCATAATATTTTACCAACGAAGACTGCACTATGAAGGCGAGGTGTGCAGTTAAATGAGAATTGTGGGTTTTGTTCTTAAAGCCTTGAATCAGATACCGGTATAATCTATGAGTGCAGTTGGTCAAGACGTGCATGGGAAGTATCTCCTTTTCAAGATCTTGTTGCACTTTATGAGGTGTAGAAAATTCAATCAACATTGATTGAATAGACAAGAAGTTGTTCAAAGGAAGATTTAGATTTTTTTGTGATGGCTTGACAAATATGGCATTGTCGGAATCAACGTGTTTTCAAAAATGTTGCTTTGAAGTCCGAGAATGTCAGCCCTTATGTTACTAAGTACATCATTAAATGTCAAGATGCAAATGGAAGTGTACGTTCTGAGCTTGACGACTATCAGAAAAACAGGACATTGGAGTGCTAAGGAGTCAGGATTTATCAGGGTTAATTGTGGTAGAGGATAGGTTGATTGGACATCAAATGCCACAGCGGGTGTGATTGCTCAAGACCATGAAGGCATAGTGGAGATTGATAGCAATTTTCCACTAAACTTGCACAATCACCATTGACCTATACAATCACCATTGACGGCGGAGATTCTCGCAATTCAATGGGGAATACTTTTGGTCAAACAACAAAACTACCAACATGTGGTCTTCAAAACCGATTCTAGAGTGCTCATTGACCTCTTATAAGGGATCCAAAACCCATAGGACTTATCAATGAATTGCAGGATATGAGAACTAACTTTTGGCTATGCATATTTTCTTTTGTGTCTAGCTCTGAGAACCAAGTAACTCATATTTTGGCTTAGGTTGTAAGAACTTGTAATTCCACTAAGATATGAGAGAATGCAACACTTATGATATCGACACAATATGTAACACGTGATTTGATTGATTAATAAAAATCTTTCTGCCATTCTATGAAAAAAATAAATAATTTCCCTTTTGTATCCTCTCAAATTTAATTAGTTTCTTCATTGAGTTACAAGGAATAATATTTTAAAAATGCTTATATAACTTTGATAGCATCTAACACCCTGCTTTTTATTGTAATTTATAGGCAGAAGGTTTATTTCGTTTTTTAATAAAAAGGTGCTATCAAATTGAAATAGTCACATATCTTATTTAAGGATATTTTTTTATCTTCTAAGAAATTGTTTGATCAATAAGAAACACAGTCGCAACATCAAGTATTTATATTGAAATAGTAGTATTCTTTTTGTTAGAAAAAAATACATCATCATACATGTTTCTTTTTGCTCATGTTTATTCCGTTGTAGATTTATCAGGTTAATATGTGTGATTTCTCTCTCTCTCTCTCTCTCTCTTTTGTGCTTTTGCTTATTTTTTCAAGAAGTAGTCAATAGTAATGTTTGGTGAAAACTTTTTGACATGCTTATCGAAACTATTTCTACTTCTAATGGTGTGTTTTAAAAAAAATGATCTAAGGATTCTTTTAAAAGCAGCATATGTTTTTTTTTGTTTATATACTATATATACCTTTTATCTTCCTTAAGCATAGTTTTACCAAACTTCTTGCTTGCCTTTTAATCATTTTTTGTTATTAGTTATAGAACTCCTATTTTTAGTAGCTTATATAAGTTACTTCTATAAACTACTTTTTTAAAGAACTTATTATAAGCCCGAACAATACTAGATTAGCTCTTAGTTTTCAACTTCGTAAATGTAGTTACTATTTTCACATTGTTCTCATGCACAATGATCAAGCTTATATGTACTATACCCTTTGGTGCAATATCGTAAAGCATGTTTGGATGTTCGATTGTGTATCATTTTGAGATAATGTAAGCGTTTCTCCTTTAAATCGAAAGATCATGGCATAAACTCATGCATTTAATTGAGACACGTAGAAATAAATTGCGATAAACATTAGGGAGTTCGCTTTTAATCCATCGCTTGTGGAGGTTAGTCAAGTAGAACTCAAAACTAGAACGAGGATAATTTGTGGGATAACGTTTTACAATGTTAGTCAATCAGAACTAGAATTAGAATAAAATTTTATAATGTTAGTCAACTAGAACCGTGATAATTGTACAAAACTATTCCACTCTTTTCATTTCTCTACTAGGAAAAAATATGCCAACACAAAATTTAGTGTCTCGTTAAAAGACAATTCTTGCAAATTATAAGCGAGTTTATCATATTAAAAAAAGAGGTCTGATGATTTTTCTATATGGAACGGGAAGTCTATGTTTATAACGAGGATTTTTTTTTTCATTTTCATTTTCAAAGGTTGTAGTCTTTGCTCCCACAAAATTGACTATAGTTTTCAGCAAATTACAGGTTAACCTGCCTTTACTAAGTAAAATGTTATAAACTAAACAATTTCAAATATATATTCCATTAAATATTTATATCAGCAGCTCCATTTTCACACAACTAAAACAAAGAATTTATTTTCAAAGGAGCTAATTTTAAAGTGTAAAATGCAAAATCGATGGTTATCGTAAAATATAAATTACCCAGGACTTTTCCGCAAAACCACCACAAGCGACAGTGTTCCTATCGGCGACCAAAGTTAAACCATTTTTATTTCCTTTCACAGATCTCAAGGGTCTCAGTCGAAAGAGAAGAGAGGAAGACGGAGATCTAAGCGCCATGGGAGTTCCGGCCTTCTACCGATGGCTCTCCGATCGATACCCTCTCTCGATCTCCGACGTAGTCGAGGAGGAGCCCTTCGATGCCGATCGAGGCGTCGCTGTTCCCATCGATCTCACGAAACCAAACCCTAATGGCGTCGAATTCGATAATTTGTATCTCGACATGAACGGAATCATTCATCCTTGCTTTCATCCCGAAGGAAGGGTGAGAAGTTCTTTATTTTGCTTTAATGTTCCTAATCTGAGAATATAGGTCGTAGGTTTTGGTTTTCAATTTTTTTTTTAAATTTTTTTGGATTTTGCGCTTGCCACTGGATGAAATATACTGCTCGTGTTAAAATTCATCTGCAAACTTCAGTCCTATCACAAGTTTACTTTGAATTACAATTCACAATAGTTAGACAAAATACATATAAAACTTAATGGTTACTCCTTAGTTTTCGCTCATTGGAAAATTTTACTATATGGTTAATTGCCCATTTGTTTTGTTGTTTGAATTCTTGTCAAACTTGCGCATAACCAGGAACTTGGCGTAGAATTAATTTTTTGATTGATGGATTCCTAGTCGCTGGTTAAGGCGCAACGTACGGAAAATTTGTCCAATTGAAGTTGGCTATCTTCAACTATTTGAGTTTAGCACAAAATTTAGAAAACGGTTTCAAGGAAAATATGCAACCTAACTGATGACTCGTGCTTAAATTTTAGCTCAAAGTAAGGTGACTAGGGGCACATATTGTATCTATATTGATTAAATAACCATTGCGATGCATATGCCTAAATCCCATGTTTTCTCAAGTAGATTAAAAATTTAGGTCTCTCTCTCTCTCTCTCTAAGGAGCGGTCACCATTTAGAAATTAGGGGCTGTAATAATAGACAACAGCAACCATAGGGCTCACATTTTGGAGCTATTCTGCGAAATTGTTTCTTATCTTCAAGTTTTATCCATCGGTAATGTCATCAATAGAAATACTAAGATTCAACTTGTAGATGGTAGCTACCTAAATTTATCTGTAAAGAAAATTGAGAACAGTTCAACCTGCAATTTCGTCTACCTATGGACTTTCTAACACCACTTCTATACACAAAATGCCACTTATGAAACATTTTGATTCTGACATTGTTGTATACCACATCTTAAAGAATTCTTATGGGGCCTAGGATGGTCCATGTGTAAGAATATGTTTCATAGTGCTGTTTGGGTTCACATTCAGTCCACTTGTGTCTACCAGTAATTATATTTGGGTTCCGTTTCAGATCATGGTTTAACCAATTATTTAATTCAATTACTTCCTCATGCATACCAATTGCATAGGAATGAATATGTTTGAGGGGTAACTATCAAGCGGTGTCACGTCCGCGCTTTATCTTTTGTTTACTGCAAGTTTGGCATAAATACCCTGGTAAAAAAGAACTATTGGTTGGCACGATTCACACATTTTTCTGATTATAGCATAAGGGGAAAAATGCTGGTTCTAGGATACATTGCCCATTGGTACCTTCTAAGAGGGTGTTTGGAAGAGTTTTTTTTGGGGGTTAAACTAGCTTTTAAGATAGCTTTTTCATACCTAACTATTTGGTGAATCACCAATAAGTTGGCTTATGAGTCCCATTTAAAAAAGTTGGGATTCCCAACTTTCGGAAAACTAGCTTATAAGCTCATGTAAATAAGCTAGGTTTGACCAAGTAAATGACCAACTTTTATGAGAATTTTATCATAAAAACCAAAAGTCAAAAGCCATCATGACTTATAAACTACTAAAAATAAGCCCTCCCAAACACCCTCCTCTTGAGTAGTGAGTCCAGTTACACAAAAATGCAATATGTTAAAGATGTCAGGAAATAAATCCATGAGAAGTAGCCAGGACTGTGTCTGTAACACAACTCTTTATCATATCATTGTCATATTTACCAATATGATCACTGTTTACACTTCAAATAGGGCTGCCTGTGCAACACAAGTTTCCAAGAATACATTGATGAAATATTTCACCAGCTTAACCAGCCAGAATCTGGTGTTTACTGTGTAATTTGTGAGCATATGAATATACAAGATGAGGGCTTATTACAAGTTGTGGAAGCCAGAATTGGCTGGTGGGCAACTTCACACTCATTGTGGGTGCAGTTAAGCTCTTGTAACCGAAGAGCAAGTCCTCCCAACTTCTTTTGGACCGAGAAGGATCAAGGTTTTAAATATCGTTTATCGGGGATTTATCAGACGGTCAAAATCTATATCGGATAGCGGAAATCGGGGATATATCGTGCATAAGTGGTGTGCGTGCCTAATATAATGTCCTAAAATATAATCTTGCATAACATAGCAAATAACAAGAAAAACTAACCAACTGTAGAAACTTAATGAAATATAAACAATCCAAAATGTAAATGCACATGTTTAAGATCACTAACCAAATATAAATACACATGTTTAAGATAACTAACTGATAATTCCGATAGTTTTCACCACTAAATCGGCTGATTTATCGGGTTATCACCGCTTTATCACCGAAAATTACCCCCCAAGATGATAGCCGATTGAAATTTGAACTTATCATAGTGGAAGGGTCCCAAAACCAATAAATCGCTGATAATAATGATTTATCGTCCGATATTTAAAACCTTGAGAAAGATCTGTAAGGGCAAAAACTATTCCTGCAGGGAAATGATTTAACTTTTAGGCATAAGGCAAAGCTTACTAGTCTAATAGATCAATTTGTATCATATCATAGAAGAAAAGGGAGAGAGCGACAGTTTGCAGATTCTAATCTATTCCTAACTATCATCTAGATTCACTTTGTTTTTTTCACGTGCAGCCTTCACCTACGACTTATGATGAAGTTTTCAAATCCATCTTTGACTATATAGATCATCTAGTTGGGCTTGTTCGCCCCAGAAAGCTGTTGTACCTGGCAATTGGTGAGTTCCTGCAAGTTTCATTTAGCTTCTCACATTTAGATCTGATTATTTTTGGTTGGCTAGATTTATCATTTGTATATTTGCTCAAAACATTGTAGATGGCGTAGCTCCCAGGGCTAAAATGAACCAGCAAAGATCTAGGCGTTTCAGAGCTGCAAAAGATGCTGTTGAAGCAGTAAGCATATAACTTTCTTGTAGTTCAGAGTTAATTCTCCATTTTCATGTTTTATTCTTCAAATGCTGGGTCTCTCAGGCTGCCGAAGAGGAAAGACTGAGAGAGGAGTTTGAGGCTGAAGGAAGAACTCTAGCTCTTAAAGAAAAATCTGAAACATCAGACTCTAATGTTATAACTCCTGGGACTCAATTTATGACTTCACTCTCTGTCGCACTTCAATATTACATACATTTGAGACTGAGCCGGACTGTGGGATGGCAGTCTATGAAGGTAGGGATCTATATGTCAAGTACGCAGTGGCCATCTGTTCTTGCATAGCGATATAATCATTGCTGCTTTCATTTCGATCGCTTTGGCTTTCAGGATACTTCTTTCTCTAAATGTATTCACGGAGCTCTCCATTGGGTGATTATGTGAAGGTTATCTTGTCTGATTCAAATGTTCCTGGTGAAGGCGAACACAAAATAATGTCATACATACGGCTACAACGCAATCTTCCTGGTTTTAATCCAAACACACGGCATTGTCTATACGGACTGGTGATTCCCCCACCATTTACTTTCCTATATTATTGTTTTTAAGACTCCTTCCATCATTCTCCCTCTCAGTGAACATAACATTATCATCGGTCTCTCTCTGCACTTGCAGGATGCAGATCTAATAATGCTTTCTCTTGCTACTCATGAGATTCACTTCTCAATTTTGAGAGAGGTCCGTAAATATTTCCGCCTTGTCTGTGGAAGAAATATGCCTGTTTCTGTATATACGACTTCTTTATGAGCAATGTTTTTTGACTCAAAAAAATGAATACATGCCAACAGGTGATCACAATGCCAGGGCAACAGGAGAAATGCTTTTCCTGTGGTCAAATTGGACATCTTGCAGCTGAGTGTAGAGGTCCTGAGGTGAATGACAAGGCTGTGGTTGACATACCCATTCACAAAAAGAAATATCAGGTGCCTCGTGGAAATGAAGTATTTTTGTGTGCAATATGAAATTCATATACTTTTTTTATTTGTTATACAGGTTAGTAGGTATATATCAGCAATTCAACATCTGAAATTAATCTTTTATTCTGTACGCAGTTTCTGAATATCTGGGTTTTGCGAGAGTATTTGGAGAATGATTTGGCAATACCAGATCCTCCATTTGAAATAAACTTTGAACGGATTGTGGATGATTTTGTTTTCATGTGCTTCTTTGTGGGAAATGACTTTCTACCACACATGCCCACTTTGGAGATTCGTGAGGTTCATAACAGGCCACATTTTCAAGTTCAATGCTTGAATTTTTTTTTTGAGAGTTATGTTCTGAAGATATCGAGTTGCACAAATTTTCTTAAGATCTCATTTTTGCTTCAGGGTGCAATCAATCTGCTTATGTTTATCTATAGAAGGGAGTTTGCAACAATGGGCGGTTACCTGACAGATGCTGGTGAGGTAGTTCATATTTTTAACTTTGCCATTCTTTTGTTTACGTCTCAAGCATTTTCCGTAAATATCTCTGTCAAGTTTGCTAGGATTGCAGGCAGGAAATCTCTCTTCCCTTTTTCTTTTCCTTCTTTCATTTCTGTGAGCCTTTGGCATCATAGCAGTTGTCAGCCAATGCTCTCTATGCTTGCTCGCTGATAATTTTTTGGGCTTATAAGCCCACATTTGTTTTTGTATACAATCCTTTATTACAGTATACTACTGTGATTTGTCATGTTTCGGTTTGATATCAAGACTCCACACATATACATTTTTATCACTTAATCATTTACTTGAGTCATGCCTTCCAGTAAAATATGTGCTTTCGCAATTCCAGAACAAGTATTAGCATCATCTCTATTATAGATAGTCTTCTGTTTCATACTTGATGCAGTAGGGTATTATAATTAGGGGCCATAAATACTTATATTTGTTCATCAGATTCATGTGCAACTAATTTTTATTTTATTTTAAGAAAACATGTGGAAGTAAATTGGAAGCATATTATGGTAGTTAGCGACTGTCTTTTTTTTTTAATTTAAAGCTCAAAAAGTTTCTGCTAATAATATTGTGAGCAAACAACCCAAGGTTACCTTTGGTTGCATGGAGAAAGGAAGACAAATTTTCCTTTTCCATAATTTTTTCCATCGTTTAGTCTAAAAGGATCTATTGTTTGCCTGTAGTTCTGGGTGAGGAAACCAAGGAAGCTTAAATTCTAACAAATGTTTTCTAATGGGAAAAATGGTTAGTGTTTGTATCATAAGTAAAATGTGTAATGCACCTTGTGAACAGAGGTTATCCTTTTAACAGAGAAGCTCTGCTGATTAAAGGAAACAAAAGCAAAGAAACAGCTAGATCTGTCAGATTCCTTTGTTTTGTTGCTACTGTTTCTAAAAGACTAACCTCTTTTTAATGATCCCTTATGATATTTTTGTCGTGAAACAGACATCCTCTTTACATTAAGCATCTATTGTCAATCTATCATGATAGATAACATCTAGTCAAAGTACATAAAAGCAATAACTTTGGTAAATTCAGATCCCAATTAAGATACAACCATTCTTTTATGAGTACCACTGCATGAATGTTTGTATAATAGTTGGAAAAAAAGAAGAATAAAAACTGGCAGACAAATTAAGGCAGACAAATAAAAGTTACTAGAAATTGTATGTATTATATTATTTTGTACTCGCAAGTAGATAAGAGAGTGCTACTTTTGCACCTAGATAACTTTCTAGATCCTACATTTCTTTGTAAACAGTGAACTTCTGTTTCTTTGTGATGCAAATGAATTCATTTGTTCCTGATTTGTTCTTCCTCGCGACCTTCCTCTCTATGTTTCCTGCTTTCATCTAATCCTCATTAGGCTACAATGTATGACAACTAATTGTTGGAGCTGAAGATCAACTGTAGAACTGTTGCAATATATGTTTTTGTTTTGATTAAGCGAGCTTATTTTGGTCATGTGCGTCTGCACTCAATTCTTTTGTAGAGCTTGCCATTATTGAGCCCTCTATATATATTTGTAAGATGAAAACTATTTGTTTCTACTGCTGGTTATGGATCTGCCATATTCTTTTAGAATAGGATTTGCTTCTGATTTGCTTTTCCTGAATTTGGTGTCGAAATTGTGGGGTTTCCTTTGTAAATAATTTTCATGCTTGATTTATTTTATCCACTGCTGGACATCTTAATGAGATTCCATCCTGCATTATTCTGTTTGGTTTTAAATGACCTGACATATCCAGTCTAACGAATTCCATGCAACCATAATCTATTGTTCCAACCAACCGATGCAAATTAAACACAGAAACCGACTTGTTGTACCCCCTTTTGGAGCACCAAACTCTTATTGATATTTTATTATTTGTATTTCCGCTTGTAATTATACGATAAATCAGATTGTAGGTTTGACATGCGCTGTGTTTAGCATCAAGCATGTTCTAAGGTTTGGTTGTTTCATCTGCTTAGGTGTCACTGGAGAGGGTTGAGCATTTTATTCAGTCATTTGCAGTTTATGAAGAACAAATTTTTCAGAAGCGTGCTCGTATTCAACAGGTGAGCAATTTTGTTGACCATCTGATCTTTGTGTAATTGCTTTCCATGTTTAATTATATCCTGTGAATTTCTTCCCTGCATGTCATCAGATCTTTATACTACTTGCACTTTCTTAATTTATGATATATGGTTACTGAATTTTCTTTATATGTTTCCTGTAAGAAACTTGATGTTGTACACACTTATATATTTAAGGTCACATCGTAGCTTAAACATTGTTGTCCCTTACATTTTGTTTGCTTCACTAAGGTAGCATGACTTGTTCAAACTTTCGTTATGGGTGAGGATATCTTCTTTCCCACATCGCGATTGCCATTTACTTTCATCTGTCGTGTGTTTAGAATCTTGTTATGTCAGTCTGTTCTTTTGTACTGGTCTTCATTGTCGGGATTTGTTTTTTACTCTCTGACATACATGGCTGACATATCTCAGGCTTATGAGAATAATGGTGAAATGAAGCTAAAATTGCAGAGGGAAACTTCCGAGGATGTTCCACCTATGCCCGTAGACAAGGTTTGGCTTGCTTTTCTCCACGTTATGTATGCATGTTCACAACTCTCAGTAATGGTCAAAACTCTTTGGCAACTCTACCTGGTATCATGTGAAAGTTCCCTTCATTATTCTCATCTAAGCCTTGGCAACTCTACCTGATATTATGTGGAAGTTTCTTTCATTATTCTCATACAAGTCTTTTAACATTAAGATGGTAGTTTTTGGAGCATGGGAGATTATGTGAAAAATCGTCTGGTAGCACTTTACAACTGGCTGTCAACCTGACATTAGCTATTATATGTTGGAATCCTTGCTAAGAATACTTTGTACACTGAAACACAACCTTGTTGCCCAGACCCGATTTTGTTCATCATGCGGTTAAGCTTATGCAAGCATAAAGTTTTTGAAGACCTGATATCATCCTGACATTAGCTACAATATGTTGGAAAATCCTGGCCAAGAATACTTTGGACTTTGGAACTCAACCTTGTTTGACAGACCCAACTTCATCCATCATGCAGTTAAGCTTATGCAAGCACAGAGTAGTTTATGACAGATGTGACCTGAGAGTACTTCATATCGAGTAGGATTAAAGATGGATAGATGGTTGTATATTTGCAGTCGTCCACCAAAGCAATTCTAACCTTTTTGGTAGTTAAAACCAATCCCACCTGCTCATAACTCTCATCCAAATTGATAAAAAATTCCGCAATTCATAAGTTAAAAAGAACAAGCACGTCATATCAATTATGCACTCAAAACTTTTATGGTTCAAAAAACAAGCAATTTCTCCAGGACAGAGGGAAAGACTCAACCAACACCGAAACTTTAGTAACTAATGATTTTCATAGCCACTCGGTCTATGTGTGCACATATGATTGCACACCAATGAGAAACGGCATTTGCTGGTTGTGCTTAGTACTCTTCAAACAAGGTCCAGTATAAAATACTGATTAAATGCAGGACATTATGGCAATCAACAACTAGACTATGATTGCCTCCATGGTGTATAGACCAAGCTCTGGATGTGTCCAAACCAACCAAACCCTTCTAGAACAAAACCATTTGAATGCCGATAGCTAGATTAATAAGAGCAGATGCATTCAAATGAAGAATGAAACACACAGCACCAACTTAGCATCAATAACCATGATGTTTTCATTCTGAGTCAAACTTGTTGCAATTCATATCTCACGCAGTTCCCTCTCAGGAATTCACAAGAACTCTTTGTATATCCCATTTACTTTCAACTAGGTTAGGCCTCAATAAACTTGATGGTTTCCATTAACATGATCTATTGATTATAAACAATCTCTTGGTAACTATTTCTTAATTTTCTAAATCTTTTGTCTCTATCACAAAATGGAGTAGCAGATCAGATTTAGGGTTAGGGTTGGGGTTGGGGTTGGGGATAGGGTTACATGAGCTGAGAAATTGTAGTAAAAAAGAAATGGATTGAACTGAAAGCATACCTTTTCCACTTGGTTTTCTTACCTTAATTTCTCTGTCTTCCTACTTTTCTTTAAAATCGAACAGCTTAAAATTTGCTTTCCCACTTGTTTTCTTTTCCTTTCTAACTGATTACGTTGACCCTCTGTTCAGGTAAAATTAGGCGAGCCTGGTTACAAGGAAAGGTACTATGTTGAGAAATTTGAATTGGAAGAATCAGAATCAATTGATGACATCAAGAAAGATGTAGTAAGTTGCCTGTCTATCTTGTACCCAAAAGTATTCCGTAAACATCTTCCTTCTCCCACATGAATATTAACACTTTTGTCTCCCTTTTCTTTGTACTTTTAAATTGTTATGCTATTACATGCTCATAGGAAATGTGAGTAACAATCATGTCTAGCAATCTAATCTTCAACATTAATTATGTATGCGCAGAAGCTAAGAAGGCTCATGCATATATTCTTTTATTAATACTACTATACTGGTTTTGAACGGATTTGATAAGACACATGATTGACACATGAAATTGTTACCCCTTTTAAATGTTTTACTTTGTGAAAATATCTTTCAAGGTTGTTGCTAATTGATTGGTGGTTGTCATTTTTGGCTATGCATATTTGTTACGGTTTTGCTTTTAAAATATTGCTTGAAGTATTAATGCACAAATAAATTAACATGTATGTTAAAACATTAATATGAAGTACCTGTATTTGCTTTCTCATTTACAATCCACTTGAGAGATACAAAGTCTTATTTCACAGCCATCTATGCAACAATTTCATACATTCAGCAACAAATCAGTTGGTAACCTAATTGTCATGTTCACTACTTTCCAGGTACAAAGATATGTGGAAGGTCTTTGTTGGATCATGCGATATTACTACCAAGGTGTTTGTTCTTGGCTATGGTGAGTTCTATTGACATCCAGGCAACAATTGGCATCACTTCTTATCTAATACTAAGAACATAATAGTTTGTGCATGTTTTATTCTCTATAATCATTAGACACGACTCATGTTCACAACTCTAAAGTTCTACCATTTCAGGTTTTACCCATATCATTATGCCCCTTTTGCGTCTGATCTCAAAGGTCTGGCAGACATGGAGATTACTTTTTTCCCGGGGCAGCCATTTAAACCGTTTGATCAGCTGATGGGTACACTACCAGCTGCAAGGTTGGTTGATATTCATTTTTAATTTTTTAATCAACCTTGCATACAGTCTTCATGTTATCCAATCTAGTGTACAAACACAAATTATTTCTTTTTTTTCCTAGCTCTGATGCGCTGCCTAAGCTGTATGGATCGCTGATGACTGATCCGAATTCACCCTTAAGAGAATTTTACCCTAAAGGTAAAGTTGCTTGAATTAAATTCTTTTATGCACTCGTTCCGCTCGCTGTAATTCATGGCTTTGCATCTATTCATATTCAGATTTTAAGATCGACATGAATGGCAAACGCTTTGCATGGCAGGTAAGCAGGCCTGGAGAATAAATTTTTTTAACTTCTTGCCAGGTTTTGACTATTTTGAGGAGTATCATATTATTTTTATGGAACTCAGGGTATTGCAAAGCTTCCTTTCATTGATGAACGACTTCTGCTTTCTGAAACAAAGAAGCTTGAGGACACATTGACAGTAAGGAGTGTCTTCTCTGAGTTGTATTCTGTGTGAACACTTTCACTTCAGTTATTAATCCTAGTCAACTTTTTGCTCATACAGGAAGAAGAGAAGTCTCGTAATAGAACAATGTTCGACATACTTTATGTTTATGAAAGACATACTCTAGCAGCACAAGTTGCATCACTGTATCATCTTTACTCTCAGTCACAACTGCAAGGACAGCCGTATTGTATTGCGATCAATCCAGCGTATAGGTAAGCATCAATTGTAATACAGAACACTCTGGAGTTGAGGGGTCCTTTTCTTATTACCTTTTCATTCTTGCAGTGATGGAATGAATGGGTTCCTATGTTTATCTGAAAGGAACAGTTACAATATATCAATACCTTCTCCAATTGGAGGGTGGAGCACCATTGAAAATAACCGAGCTCTGTAAGTCTCTAGTTAACTGGCACCTGTTTTTTCTTAGCTTTATTCAAGATGGGCGTTTCTATTGTCAGTTGTCTGGTCTCCATTATTATTCTTACATTTTTTCACATTTTATTTTGGAAGAAATGCTACCTATCTCAACCCTAAGCATCATCAACACATCCCCGAACCGCCTGAAGGTGTGGTAATGCCAGTGAAGGTACTTCTCTTTTGCAGATTTGTTTAGACCCTAAGCATCATCAACACATCCCCGAACCGCCTGAAGGTGTGGTAATGCCAGTGAAGGTACTTCTCTTTTGCAGATTTGTTTAG